TCTTTGTAAATAGGGAAGGGGGGAGGGGGTGAAGGGAGGGCTAGGAATGGGGAAAAAATAAGAACCAAGATGCATTATGCAAAGGTACAATTCCCAATGCGAAATGTAATTGTGTTGTATACCTACAATGTACCAATAAAAGAATTTGATACAGTGCAAAAAAAAATCATTAAGTTGTCTAGGTTGGTGCTTGAACTCGCTATTGTCAGCCACTCAGGATGCTGGGATTACAGGTGTGTACCACCATGTGCTTCTGTTCTATTCTATTCATTATTTATTGATTGGTTCTTTTGAGACAGGGTCTTTCTATGTGGTTCAGGCTGGTCTCAAACTTGTGGCAATCTTTGTGCCTCAGCCTTCTGAGTACTGGGGATTACAGGCATGTGCCACTACACCCAGAGCTCCAACTGTAATGTATTTTAGAAGACATGTGTTGCCAATACTATGACAGTACTATATGGGAAGTATGCTGGTAAAAAATAGTCTTATTGTATAGGTATGGTTTTGAGGATGCCAGATTTGAAGAATATGGATTCTTTTCAGAAAGTTGGTGGTTTATAGGGATAGTCTTTGATTTTTTGTTTTTTGTAATGGGGATCGAACTCAGGACCTTGCACTAGTGAGGCAGGTGCGGTGCCACTGAGCTAAATCCCCAGCCTTTTTACTTTTTGTAGAGACAGGGTATTGCTATGTAGCCCAGGGTGGCCTCAAACTTTCGGGAATCCTCTTGCCTCTGCTTCCCAAGGGCTGGGATTACAGGCGTGGGCCACCACTTTATAGGGATGGTCTTGGTACAACCAGTTCTGTAAAGTATAAGCCCTCTGATGTTATTTCATCACAGTAATAGAAGCATGGATAAGTAAAACATTTCGGGTTACAGGATTAGTAACTACTGAAGCCTTGAATTGCCTCAATTCTCTCAGTAAAGCCGAACTCGTGTCTGATGCCGAAATATTTTTATTGCATGAAATAAAGATGAAAAAGATGATTAGCATATCTATACAACATTCTCATGTTCTGGGTATGTTTTTCTTTACTAACATTTTATTAATATGGCATGTCACATAAAGGAGCAAAAAAGTAAAAAACAAACAAACCCCCAAAAACAAAAAACCAGGGCTGGTGGTGTGGCTCAGTGCTAAAGCAGGTACCTAGCATGCAGGAGGCCCTGGGTTCAACTGCCAGCCCTGAAAAAAAATTTAGTTGGGCCTACATAAAATTCATGGTATCAAACTATGATTTTTTTTTTAATACAGACGATTGAGCCCAGAGCTGCAACAATGCTAAGCATACACACCACTGAGCTACACCTCCAGGGACTCACACTGAATTTGGACGTCAATGTCAATCAGAGAAACAGGATGGAATAATGCACAAAGGAATGTATAAATGCTGAGTACTGACATCGGTTGACAGATAAAAATACGATAGGATAATACTAGTATCTGGGTATGCTCAAATAGAACTTAAGACTTAAAAACACCTTAAAAGTAAAAATCAGATTTCATTCTCATATTAATCATGTGTGTCTCATATCAATCCATATGTGTGTCAATGATATAAACTCTGGCTAGCTGATTGCATTTCTTGAACCTGAGAAGTAAAAAAAATTGTGACTACTGAAAAGGCCACCTCATGGTTTTCTGTGAAAGTCACCGATGTGAAAAGCATTAAACAGTGGAGCTACAGGAAGAAGGCAATGTCCAAATGCACTTTTCTGTGTCAGTATTCTTTGTGTGTGCGGTTTTTTGAGACAGGGTCTATGTAGCCCAGGCTGGCCTTGAACTCATGGCGATCCTCCTGCCTCATCCTGTGTCAGTAGTCTTTAAAAATTTTCTTTCCTAAGGCTTACCCTCTCTTATTTCACCTGTTCATCACTGTATCGGTAACAGTTCAATGTTTGATACTCAAATCTCATGTGCTGAGATGTGTTCTTTTATTAGAAAGCATGTGACTTCTTTTTTCTTTTTCCAGTACTGGGGAATCAAACTCAGGACCTTGTGCTACATCCCTGAAAGCATGTTAATTTATAATTGCTACTTTAAAAATATTTTTATCTACCTTCCAGAAAATATCTTTTTTTCCAGCATCAAATATTTGTTTTGGGTCTAGGTGAATCTTTAATTGCTCAAGTACTTCCACTATTTTAAACTCTCTTAATTTTTCTCTCTCACATTCTAATTGGTATTGACAAGTTATCTTTCCCAAATTCCAACCCTATCATCTCAATATTATAAAGCAAATGACATATATAAGTAAAATAAAAACATGGCTGACAAAAAGTGTACCTTTTCTTAGTTGTATTAAAATAGTAAGTACAATACATGCTTATATTTAAAAAAAATGCAAATAGGAAGGTATAACATGAAACGTAAAATTTCCTTTACTCTACCTTCCAGTGCTCTTCCACCATGGAGGACACTAGCTGTACGTGGCTGTTTACATCAAAAACTTCCAGGAGACACTAGCTATGTTGCAACTGCACAACCACACGTGGGGGCCGGGGGTGTCACACTGGGCACACAGATACAGAACATTTCGTCATCAGAAACTTCACCCAATGGTGCTGCTCTATGGTAACCACAATTAAGTAATGCAAATATCTATCTTATTACGCTGAGTTCTTTACAAGTCTCTTACCAGATATATAATTTTTTCAAAAACATTTCTGTCACTCTAAGGGCTGTCTTTTCATTTTTTTTTTGGTACCAGGGATCAAATTTGGGTCATTCTGCTTGCGAGGCAGGCAGCAGAAACACTGAGCTAAATCCCCAGCCCTCTTTTCATTTTTTTAACGGTGCCATTAAATTACAAGTTAAACCTGATAGTCCCATTCCATCTCTTTTCCTTGTTGCTTGTGATTTTGGTGTTGTATCCAAGAAACTTACTTAGCTCAAGGTCACAAAGATTTACTTCTGTTTTCTTCTAAAAGTTTTAGCTTTTATAAAGTCTGCGACCCACTTTGAGATTTATCGGTAGTATTACGAGAGTACTTTTGCATGTAACTACTACTAGCTGTCACATCTCTTTCCTCTCTGAATGGTACTGGCATCTTGTTGAAAGTCAGAAAAGTATAGGGCTTTTTTTTCTGGATTCTCAGTTCTATACCTATGTCTACCCATATACCTACATTGTCTTGATTATTGTAGCTTTTTAAGTTTTGAAATTGATGAGACAAAGTCTTCCCATCTTGTTTTTCAAATTTTGGGTGGGGGCTTTTCTGGGTCCTTATATTTCCTTATAAATTTTATTATTAACCTGCCAATTTCTGTAAGAAATCTGGCTGGGATTTTGACAGGAATTATGGTCAATTAGTAAATGAACTTGGGAAGAATTGTCATATTAATATCGTGCTTCAATCCATGAAAATGGACGTCCTTCCATTTATTCATATCTTATTTGTTACAATAATTTTTTTTTGGTACCAGGGATCAAACTCAGAACTTTGCACTTGCGAGGCAGGTGGCAGAACCACTGAGCTAAATCCCCAGCCCTACAACAATGTTTTATACTTCTGGATGCTATTATGAATAGAATTTTGGAGCTGGGAGTGGTGGTGCATGCCAGTAATCCCAGCACTAGGGAGGCTGAGGCAGGAGGATTGCCCAAAGTTTGAGGCCAGCTTGGGCTACATAGTGAGCTCAAGTATAGCCTGAACCTACAGAGCAAGACTGTCTCAAAAAAATTTTTTTTGAATGTTCTTTTAGTATACAAACAATACTGATGTTGATCTTGTATCCCACAACCTGCTGAGCTTGTTTTTAAATGAATTCCCTATAATTTTCACATACAGTGTCATCTGTGAATATATACACAGTTATCACTCATCCAACGTCCTGTGAAGTGTTTCAGATTCTGGATTATTTGCATATACATGAGACACACTGGGGATGGGACTCAAACTTGGAATTATTTGCTTTTACATGTACTTGGTATACATAGCCTGAAGGCTAATTTTATGCAACAGTTTTAGTGTCTCTTTGACTGTGACCTCCTATATGAGATCAGGTATGGAATTTTCCAGTTGTGATACCATGTAAGCACAGAATTAGGAGTGTTCAACCTATAGTTTTGTTTCTTTTCCAATACACACGGCTTTTATTTATTTTTTAAGCCCTGGCTAAAACCTCAAGTATAATGCTGAACAGAAGTGGTTAGGGTGAATATCTTTCCCCCTCCCCACTTGTCTTTTATGCTCTTCATTTTGGCAGATTTGCAGAAGTATATAACGTATTCTGATCACCCCCCACCTACCCCTCTTTACCTGCCTTTTCCCTAGTGTCATTTTTGGTCTTATTCCTGATCTTTTTTTTTTTTTTTTTTTGGTACCGGGGATCGAACTTGGGTCCTTGTGCTTGTGCAGCAGGTGGCGAAACCACTGAGCTAAATCCCCAGCCTTATTCCTGATCTTAAGAGCAAAAACATTCAGCACTCAGTCTGCCCCCATTATGACCCTCAGTGTGGGTTTTTTTGTGGATGATGTAATATGCTGAGGAAGGTCCCTTTTATTACTAGTTTAATGTTGTTACCATGAAAGGGTGGATTTTATCAATTTTTTTTGCATCTACTAAGCAATCTATGTGGGTTTTGTCCATTATTATTGTGGTATAGTTGCAACTACACTATTTACAATTATGTAAATATGAATTTACAAACTTATTAAAATTACACCCCCACCAGGACTTGTGGAACTTTTGTAGTGATTTGTGGACACGTACAGACCAGTGAAAAATCTGAATCACCCAATACACATGTTCCAAGCAATGCCGAACACAGCAATGCCAAACTCCTTGCTCCAGCTCTCACAGAGATGACAGGGGAAGGTGATGATGGAGGAAGAGGGAAGGGGGAAGGCGCAGTTCGGTGCAAGAAGCTCTGGCTCTGGGGCAAGTTGGACAGGGTTTAAATTCCAGCCTCAGGCACATCACTGAATGCCTGTAAACCTCATTTTCACTTCTGTAAAATAAAGAAAACGCCAGAATCTGCCAGGATGAATTGTTACTAGGACTCTGAGACAGAGGTGTTCATGCACAAGTGCATATATGCACACCCATCCCTAGGAGCAACGACTCCATATTCACTCGCTCAGTGTTCGTGGGACTTTAGAGAACATTAATGAGAACTGAGTGTATACCAGTTTAAATGACTTTTGGATGCTAAACCAATCTTTTAATTTCTGGGAAAAATGTCACTAGATCATTGTATATAAACCTTTTCCCATATTGCTGGATTCAGTTTGCCTGTACTTTGTTAATGATTTTTACAGGATATTGGTCTATGGTTTTCCTATGGTCCCCCCACCCCTTTTGAGAAAAGGTCTCCCTATGTAGTCCAGGTTTGTCTTGAACTCACTATGTAGCTTGGGCTGGCCTCAAATTCCCAATCTTCTTGCCTTAGCTCCCAGGGGCTAGGATTATAGCTATAGCTTTCTTGTCTAACTTTGGTGTCAGGGGAACAATGAGCTCACAGGATGAGTTGGGAAGTATACCTTCCTCTTTTGGGGAGAATTTGCTAAGAGCTGGTATAATTTTAATGTCTGGTAGAATTTAGTGGTAGAGCATCTGGGCCTGGGATTTTCTTTTGGGGCTTTAAAAATTACTAACTCAATCTCTTCCTTTTCTATGGGTCACTGCCTTTCCACACCTATGTGCCCTGGGATTGAACCTAGGGACTTCATACTGAGCCCCTTTGTATTTTGAGACAGGGTCTCACTAAGTCACTAAGTTGCCCATGCTGGGCTCAAACTTGCTATTCTCTGGCCTCAAGACTCTTAGAGTCCTGGGACTATGGGCATGTGCCACCAAGCCCAGCTTTCCAGTTGCCCTTTAAACTTGCTTTTAGCAAGGACCAAATATGATAAGGATATTACCTCCTAAGCCCATTTAAAGTTACTAATTCAATTATTTCCCGTTTTACTGCCACTTGTCTTTTAAGTCTGCTTTTAGGTAGAACCACAAGTGATAAGAATTTTCTCTCTTAAGACCTGTAAAATTCAAGAAGGAAATACATGTTATCAAGGAAGACACTTTCAATGTCTGGAAGATTCAAATAAGCAGCTACCCAAACTATCCAGTTACATCTCTATTTTTAACCTCTGCTGTCTAGCTTTAACATAGACAAATATTTCATCATCTCTCATGTGCTTTCATGACTCACAAACAAGAAATGTAAGCCTGTTCTGCATAAGATTTGTATACAAACCTCTTAACTGACACTTGCACCGAAGTCTTAGAATCACAAATCAAGGCCTGTACATTACTCAAGATAATACAGATATGCATTTCCCTCTTTCCTTCCTGTCAAAAATAAAATTGTGTCTTAGAACCCATTAAGAAGGTAGTATGTAGTGGAAAAATTACTAGAATAGAATTCTAGAGGTCTCAGTCCTGTGCCAACTCTAACTTAGACAAGAGGACTCAATCTGTTTCAATAAAACTAGGTTAGGCCTGATGATCAACAGGATTTCTTCTGGTATTAAAAGTACAATGATTTACTTATTCTACAGTAACGCTATTCCCACTCCTCTCACTTCAGAGTAGGCAAAATAAAAATATTTTTGTTATGTACACCTATATACATACATCCATACTTCATTCTCACAGAACAAAGCATTAAATTAACAAGTCCAAAAAATGAAAAAAAAAAAAGGCAAGAGGAAGTCTGTGGTTAAATAACGTAATTCCATTATCTCACAGCCTATGAAACAGTTGTTACCAATTTTCTCTTCATATATACTTACTTGACTTTTCACAGTGCCTCATTTTATATAAGTACTATTTCATGTGAGGCATCTAATAATTATGCGGATCTTTAAAAACAAGGTCACTTTTCAGAAATCCTGAGCCCATCAGAGAAACTGAATGGCATTTCATCGGTTGTCTCCACTGGCATGTTACTCCTAGCAAGCCCACAGGAAAAATGATGGGTGTGATAACTTGAAATAAATGCATTAGGAGTCCGGCTGCAATGACATCTGTCGGATGGCATAACGCTCTCGGAATTACCAAGATGTGAATGGTAGACACCATGGAATGAGTCCTGAGATGAAGGATAATGCCCTGTTCCCCCAGAGGCAGGTGTGGAGCTGTGGTATGGCCCGTCAGACATCAGGCATGTCTGATAGCAAGTCTTCCTGCCCAGACTTCGGTGCATGTCTAACTTAGCAATGAGAGGCTTCCCAACATTCACTTCCTGTTTCTCTTCCACAGTGTCCTCCAGTCCTGAGTACTGATATGATAAACACACTGTAAAGATCAGATGTTCCTGAAAAGCAAAAGAAATGAGGTTCATCATTTTTATCAACAGTGAAAACATATCAGTCTTAAGATTTCATTTCTATAACACACTAACAGAAACCTACTCAGCCCTGTTTCCTAGGCTCAAAATCCTCAAGGCATCCTTCCCCAACCCCCTAAATGGAGAAAGGCCAGCTACAACTGGCTTCCTTTTCTTTCATTCAATACTTAGGAGCTGAGCAGAATTCCAGTTCTTACTTTGGTAACTAGTCAAAATTACACAGATCTTATGTCACATTTCCGGTACCTTATCTTTCCCTATTACTGGAGATGGGAATTGTCCTTTAATGTAAAAATGATGTATATGTACCAATTCCCCAAGATGAATGTAATTATTATGTCTTGCAACATATACTGATAAAAAATAATTTGGTTTTAGACCTATATCAAAATGTAAGCTGTTTAAAAATATTATTAATAATCCAGAATCATAAGAGAAAAATATAGCTGAATCAGGTAACAGGCTACATCTTCAAGAGATGACTTTAAGTAGACTGGGTGTGAACAGGTGACAGTAGGTGTATGTTTGCTGTCTTCACATAACTGGCAAGTGCCCATTCCATTCCCCAAGTTTTGCCTGAGACATATTATGGTATTCAGCTAGGAATAGATTAAATACTCAATTTTTGCAAGGACATGCTTTTATTAGAAAGCTTAACCATGTAAAGCTAGCTTCTCATTTGTAAGTCAAGTAGAAATGAAAGAGATTAAAAAGATATTCCAATTCTAATTTATATGTTTTATAGAAAGACACAGAACAAGAAGTCATTATTTCAAAGTGCTAAGATATTTAGAGGTAGAATATGCTCTATGTTGCTAACTTCTCAACTGTATGGAGAGTAAGCACATGGATGTTCACACAAAAATCCTCAGACCTCTGGCAAGGATAGAACACAGTGGGATCTTGTTCCATGAGCTTAATTCGTTCCATGATTCTGGAAAAGATGGCCACGTTTGAGTTCATGTTTTTGTGGCAAAGATGGCTATGGTTGCATTCGTCACCCAATCCAGAGTTAGCAAACAAAAGCAAAATTTTGTCAAATGCTTCTTTTTGTGAACCAAATTGTTTGCAAACAAAAGTGTTTGTGAACTGAGGCACCACTGTGTAATATGAAAAGTCACTAAGAAGATCCACTAGATTGGTTATCTCTACTTCAATATCCAAAAAATCAGCATATTTATGAACTATGCTAGAGAATTTTGAGTTTCAGGGAGCTTTTTATTAGTAACTATAAACAGGAAAAAGTCACCTTTAATTTTTGCAGGGAGCTGAGTCTTGTGTAGAGGCAGTGCTTGGGCAGCTCCTTTGATACTAAGTAGCTGCCAGTTTCCTCCGGAGTCCCTTTATTTGCATCTTTTGGGTCAATATCTAGGTCCTGTGGGAAAAAAATATGAATGTTATAATGAAATCACTGAAACTTACAATATAGTTTATGGTATTAAAACATCCAGACAAGTATAACTCTTTCAAGAATTTGGCTTGAGTAGGCAGACCCTTATCCAGGACTAAAGAAACAATGAAAACAATGTTCTATGGTTATACGAATTTGAGATTCTGCACAAGTATTTTTAAAAAGTAAAGTTAGTAAGGCACAGTGGCGCACACTTGTAATCTCAGCTACTTGGGAGGCTGAGGCAGGAAGATTTCAAGTTCAAGGCCAGCCTGGGCAAGACTGTTTCAAAATAAAAAATAAAAAGGGCTAGTGCTGACACCCTGGTTTTAATCCTTAGTAACACACACACACGCACAGAGTAGGCTCTGAAAGGACAGTTTCTTTCAAATTATTTCTCTAAACACATCTTACCATACTCAAGCTTCCTTTTCAGTAGAGAGAACCCCACTAGTGCTTGCCCCCTGGATTCTCTCCCTCTTTCCCATCACTTTGGGAAGATGCAGGGGATTCATACGTTTAGAATAACTAGGACAAATAAATGATGCCTTTTTTGTTCATAGGTGAAGGATAGGAGACGCTCTGCTGCTCACAGGAAGCCCATGCTCTACCTAGGCCCAGCACCAGGGAGGCCAACCCTGTGATGGGCACTAATTCTGAAGTTCTGTGCAACATCATCTGCTCTCACATGAGGCAATGGCCTCCATATAGCCTACACAAGTAATAAAAACATTTTTTATTTGTTTCTCCTTGCTTATTTCTCAATCTCTCTCATCTATGGCAGGAAAAAGGGGAACTGTTTATTTAGAACAACAAAAATAAATATTGTAACTAAATGTTTGGAAAGAACAGAACTAGAATTCTATTCTTCCAACATACTAATACTATCATAACTTTACAAGTCTTGTGCTGTTCCAATAAGATACTGGAAATATTCTTCACTTATGTATAGCATATTTTATTCTTTCACATGATATTCTTTTTAGGATATGAGAAATTAAAGGCATCCTTTCTGAGTGAACTCAGACATTTCCAAATTTGACAAACTTAAAGTATTTTGGCAATTATTAAACACTATGGCAAGTACAAATAAACATACGAATAAACTCATATAAATATATTTTCTTCATATTTACCATCAGATTTAAGGTTTTTTTTGGTACCAGGGACTGAACTCAGGACCCTGGGCTTGCGAGGCAGGTGCGGTGCCACTGAGCTAAATCCCCAGCCGTTAAGTTTTTAAAGTTTAGTCTTGAGGTGTTTTTTGGGGGGTAGTGGTGGGGTTTGAACCCAGGGCCTCACACATGCTACCACTGAGCTACATCCTCAGCTCAAAAGTTTACTCTTTAATAGTAAGAATAGATCACTGTAATTTAAATAAAAAAGAGACTTACAAGTGGAAAATCAGTAACATAGGCATCACACATTATTATCTCAGGTGGTTTATGGACTATACTTGTATAGATTATCATGACGTTGGAAAACTCAGCTGCAAATCCTAATTGAATCTGAACACCACATTGAAATTTAAGACACATGCTTTCCGGAAGTTCTGGAAAAAAAAAACCCCAGTAAGAACAACTTAGAAAACATTATTTAAAGAGTGCTAAGCTTTCTGATAAATAGCAAATATCTTATATAGGGCAGAATATAGTTAAGAGTATTTTCTTGTACTTAAAAATATTACATAACCATTATTTTTTAAAACATACACACAATAAAACAAAATTACTCTGTTGGCCAACCCAATCAAATTTTTCATTTACTACAGTTCATCCATCTGTATATATAATTTTCACAGTGGTAATTAAAAGTATACATATAATTGCAGATATATTTTAACTGATGCTTTACTTTTCACGATAAGATGTTTTTCAGTCCTGGACATGGAACCCAGGGTTATTGCATGTTGGGCAAATGCTCTACAATGGAGCTACACCCTAGCACCACGACAAGAACTTTTTTTTTAAGACGAGAAAAACTGGGAGGGAGGAGGGAGAAGAGGTGTAGAGGTGAAGCTTCCTCGGCCACACCCTTCCCCATGTCATTTCTGCCTGGGAGCCAGCTGTCCATGGACTGAAACCTCCAAAACTGGGAGCAGAAATCAATCTTTTCTCCTGTTAGCTGTGTTTGTCAGGTATTTTTGTCCCAGCAACAGAAAGGTGATGAATACAAACATACAGCAAAGAAAGATGTTAGTGCCATGTGGATATGCCCAGAGAATCAATGGAACAGAACAGAAGATGCAGAAACAACTCCAAGCACACTCAGCTATCTTATCGTTGACAAAGGCAGCAAACATCTTCACTGGAAGAAAAATAGCCTCTTTAAAAAATGGCGCTGGGAAAACTGGCTTTTCACATGCTGAAGATTAAACCTAGACCCATATCTCTCACCATGTCCTAAACTAAAATCAAAATGGATCAAAGATCTAAATATAAAAATAGAAAACACTAAATCGGCTGGAAGATAGAATAGGTAAACTCTGGAAGACATGGGTGTAGACAAAAATTTTATGAACAAAACCCTGACCACACAGAAAATATTAAAAAGAATCAACAACTAGGATCACATCAAATTAAAAAGCTTTTGCACAGCGAAAGAAACCACCAACAGAGTGAAGAGACAACCCACAGTGTGGGAAAAAATTTTGTCAGTTACTCCTCAGACAAAGGACTACCATCTGGAATATATGAAGAACTCAAAAAAATTGGACCTCCAAATTTAAAGACCCAATCCAAAAATAGGTATCTGAAATGAATAGACACTTCTGCGATGAAGTAAATAAATATATGAAAAAATGTTCAACATCATTTGAGAAATGCAAATTAAAACAACGAGACTCCAGAAAGAATGGCTACCATCAAGAAATCAATAACGAATGCTGGTGGGGCTGTGGGGAAAAGGAACCCTTCTCTGCTGTTGGTGGGAGTGTAAACTGGTTCAACCTATATGGAAATCAGTATGGAGATTCCTCAAAAAACTAAAAGTAGACATTCCATTTGACCCAGCTATTCCCCTTCTAGGCATCTTCCTGAAAGAGTTAAAAGCATCATACCACAGTGATATAACACACCCATGTTTATAGTAGCATAATGTATATAACAGCTAAATCTTGGAAACAGCCCATCTGCCCATCAATAAATGAATAAATAAAGATGTGGTATTTATATACAGTGGAGTACTACTCTGCCATAAAGAAGCATAAACTTGAGTCATTAGTGGTTAAATGGATGCACCTCAAGGCCATAATTTAAAGTGAAACAAATAAAACACATAAGCTTAAATATCACATTATTTCTCTTGTGTGAGAAACTAAGGGTAAACAAGGAACAAAAAGGAGGACAGATGTTGGGAAGTAGGAAGAACATGTTCAAATGGAAAAGGGAACAAGGAGGGGGGAGAGGGAAGGGAAGGAAGGGAAAAAGGATTTAAAAACAAGGAAAAAATGGAAACAAAGCTGTAAATGGGGAGGGGAAGAGGTTAAAGGAGGGGGGGAATGGGAAAAAAGAATTAAGATATATATTATGTACGGGTACAAATTCCCTATGATAAATGTGAGCACCATGTACGGCAAATATGGAATAAAAAATAGTAAAAAAAAAAAAGAGTAGGAAAAATTTATTGGGAGAAAGATAGCTTCTGCCTAAGAGAGACAGAAGGAGGACCAGAAAGTGGCTTGGCCACTCACTCCACGTTTCAAAGATGTTTTATAATGACAAGAATTTTTGATCAAACATATTATCACTATAGTTCTTGTTACCTTTAATTATTCTTCTACTCTTGAATATCTATAATATTTCTGGTTTTATCATGTTCTATCATAGTTAATATGTCATATATTTCATGCTTTAGCATTGCTGAAGATAGCTATTTGATGGTTCTTTAGATATAGGACAACTCGTTTTCAATTTAGATGTAAATGAGGTTTTATTAATTTTGAAAATGTTTGATGGACTAAACTACACTAAGAATTTTCTTTAGTAACTACATTTGCCATTTTCTACATTTCTTCTTAATTATTAATCTAACTGTGAGGACTGCTGAACTTACAGCACTTGCTTATTCACTGATGGAAGAGTCTTAATGTCTTTTCTTATTTTTATGAATTCTTCACTATGTAAAACATCTATTAGGTTTATTACAAATACCTTCTACATGAGCTTTTATTTTAATTTTACAAAAGGTGTTGCTTACTGTTGATCTTTACCATTGTAATTTTGTTCCTATTGTCATTTACTTTTCTTGTGGATAAGAAATTCAATTTCAATTACTTATGCAATTATCTACAACATCAAGATAATATATTTCTAACACTTTATGTTTCAAAGTGCTCTAATGTTAATTTAACAGGTATACCTTAAAAAGCAAAAAATATTATGAAAAGAAAGATATTTTATAGTGGTTCAATAAATATAATTATTTTCCAATGATCTCTAGTAAGAGATTCATAGAGTATTTAGGACTCAAAGAAAATCCTAAATATTTCAGTCAATATTTTCATTAAATCAGAATTACAAAATTTCTGGGATGGGGATTTAGCTCAGTGGTTCCACCACCTGCCTTGCAAGTACAAGGTCCTGAGTTTTATCCCTGGTACCAAAAAAAAAAGAATTACCAAATTTCCGAAAGGTAATTAAGCTACGATCATTTTTTCTTTGTCACCCCTCCCACTGATCTAGTGTCACAGAGAGGATGCCATCGGTATTTAAGAGCCATTCTTGTTTCTCAGGTGGACTTCATGTGATCTCACCAACTTATGCAGTGGGGACTATGGCTTATCCACAATTTATAGACAACACGTTTCTCTGGCTGTAGAGACTGGGTGAAAATCTAGGCCTGTTTGACTCTGGACAGCTGCATAGAAGTTAAAGACCATATATTAGACAGATACAAAATTAACTCATTTTAAAAACAGAATTAAACATGATCATTTAAATTTTATCTATAATAAAAACAATGGGCTAAATAACTCTATCTCTAACATCAAATAAGTCAGTGCAATGTCTATAATTAAATGTGCAATGTCTATAATTAAACCATTTGTTTACTTTTACATTTGCCTATTGGGCCAACTTGTTCAGTATAAAATTTGGAAGAAAGTCTTGAGTAAGAAGAAAAAATTTTATGATTTAAAAATACATATGAGAGGAAGATCTCGTAAGAAACAGACTTTACCATACCATGAGCCTTGGCCCACTGCAGATTCCGCACCAGAGACTCTGCAGAAGAAGCTGTCCCTTGAATCGGATCAGTGAGTGCTCTCTTTTCAGACAAACTGCTTCGAATCTCCAGAGCCTGTTTACCTTTGGTAAGGTGACATTTGCCCATATCTAAAAAATAAGCAAATATTATTTTTAAGACCACCAATCCTTTTGTTATATTTTAAACATTCAGGTCAAAAACTTTCTGAGAAATCAGGTTTTATTTTCAACATCATCCATTCACTCAACAAACATTTTGCTGAGCACCTATATGTGTCAGGCACAGTTCAAGGTGTTGGGGATATAATAGTGAGCAAATATAACTAGACTAGTTCTAAAAAGCTGGAAATGCATTTCTTTTCTAAAAGAGCAACCATGACCATTTTATGTCCTTACTCTCTTGAGAAGTACATTCTGTTAGAAAAACAGAGGACGACAGGGCCTGGGTTTTAGCTCAGTGGTGCCGCCGCCTGCCTCGCAAGGCCAAGATCCCGAGTTCAATCCCTGGTACCAAAAAAACAAAAAACAAAAACCAGAGGACTATATATATATGATAAAAGTTACAATAAAAGCCACAGCCAAATTTACTTGATACTTTTATTTTTTTGATGTGGTACTGGGACTCCTGGATAGAGCAAGGACTCTACCACTGAGCTATTTTACCAGCACTTAAAAAATTTTTGTTTTTGAGAAAGGTCCTGCCAAGTTGCCCAGGCTGGCTTTGAACTTATGATCCTACTGGCTCAGTCTTCTGAGTATCTGTGATACGGGTGTACAGCACTGTGCCCCAGCTTACCTAAGATATCATTATTGCTAAAAATAGGAAATGAAGAGTGGGGATTTAGCTCACTGGTGCCGCGCCTGCCTCATAAGTGCAAGATCCTAAATTCAATCCCCAGTGCCAAAAAAAAAAAAGGTAAATGTGTCGAAACTACCTATCTGGCCAAAGTACCGTAATTCCCTTCCCATAATCCCCTGCTCAAAGTAACCATTACCCAGTGTGGTGTGCATACTCACATGCATATTTTAATTTTTATTCATGTGTAAGTATTTGTGAGTAACACGCGCCATTTGCCATCTTAGGTTTTGAATTTAACAAAAATGTTACATTATAAACATGTTTTATAATGTGTTTTTATTTAAAATGTTTTAGATACAGATTTTTGTATACTGATAAACATCAATTTAGATTTAAAACTATCAGATATTTGTATGAATAAATTAGTTTACCTTAGGTCTATACACTATGTTATTAATTATTAATAAGAAGGTTGAGCTCAGAGTAGTGGCAAATGCCTGTAATCCCAGCTACTTGGGAGGGTGAGGCAGGAGTATCTCTTGAGCTCATGAGTTGGACAGCAGCCTGGGCAACACAGTAAATGAAGTTAATAATAGCTGCTTTTGAGAAGGAAGGTTACTCAACCGGGGCAAAAATGTATAAAACTAAGATTTCATCCCTTTTACACACACACACACACACACACACACAAACACACGTTTGCAAATCGTGTTAATGTTTTTCAACAGTTTTCTTTGAATACATACATACATATGTACACATACATATGAACGGACATGTACATACACACACCAAAACCCCAAAAAGCTATCCAGAACTAAGTCTAAGTTACACCAACCTGTTAGGGATAGGGTGGGGAAACCAAAGATGCCAAGTACATGTTGAAATTATTATTAATTATTAGGGGATAGAAAATACAGAAATAATTTTTTTTTTGGTACTGGGGATCGAACTTGGGACGCTGCACTTGCGAGGCAGGTGGCAGAACCCTGGCCCCAGAAATAATTTTTTAAAAAGATGAAAAAGAAAAATGAGCCAAATTTAAAAATTAGATGGTTAAAACATACACAAAGTAACAAATGTAAATAAATGAAACTTTCTAGTTTAGACAGATTATCAAATTGGAATTTAAAAAAATCTGATATTCATTATATTGTATACCTAAAACGTATCAATAACATTAATTAAAAAGATAAAACAAAAATCTGATATTGACAGGTGTAGGGGGTATACACCTGTAATTCCAGCACTCAGGCGGCTTAGACAGCCTGAACTACATAGCAAGACCCCATCTCAGAAAACAATAAAAATAGCAAAACAAAGTCTGTTATTCGCTGCCTCCAAAAGCTACAACCAAAGCAGAATTACATGAAATGCCTAGAAGTAAATGAATAAAAAAACAGGCCCAGGGATTTAGCTCAGTGGTTCTGCCGCCTGCCTTGCAAACGGAAGGATCCGAGTTCGATATCCGGTACCAAAAAAAAAAAAAAATCTGGTCAATAAAAAGAAAGCTGAGATGGTTCTCTTAATATGATATATTAAGAAATATATTAATATGATATGATCTATTAAGAAAAAGAGTCAGGGATATAGCTCAGTGGCACTGCACCTGCCTGGCAAGTACAAAGTCCTGAGTTCGATTCCTGGTACCAGAAAAAAGAAAAACAAAAAACCTCAAACAGAAAAAGCATTAGATGAGATGGAGGCATCACTATACAACTATTCATGTGTTAGAAGTAACAACAGAATAAAATCAAAGAAAGCAAGCAAGACATAAAGAGCAGAAATGAATGTTATGGAAGACAATGAAAAAGTAAAGGAAATCAGTAGAGCCAAAGGAAGTTCTCTGAAAAGAAATAGCAACTGACAAAATCTGACAAGACTTATCAAGAAAATAAAAAAGTTGGCACAAATAAGTAATAGTGATGAAAAGGGTATATTACTACAGATAATGCACAGGTTAATTATACTGGGAGATAAAATATTCAGCAACTAAATTCCAACAATTTTGAAAAACTGCCAAAATTTGTAGGAAAATTTTATCAAAAATCTCAACAAACAAAAAGCCTAAATAGTGTAAGAAATATTCACAATTTTGAAAAAGTAGTAGTGTACCAAGAAAATACCAGTAGCAGACTAATTTTCAAAAGAGTACTATCAAAATGTTCAGGAGATCATCACAGTTTTATACAAAATTTTCCAGGAAACAAGAAGGAATACCACGGAATTAAGATTGCCAGAGAAATGGTTAGCAAGAAGACGTGTGGTGGATATGTATATATGTATATATATGTGTGTGTGTGTGTGTGTGTATACAGGGAGAGTGAGGGGAAGGTAGAAGTTAATTTATTTTAAGGAAATGGCTCATGTAGCTGTGGTGGTACAAGTCTAAATCCTGCAGGGTATGCTGGGTGTGGTGGCGCATGCCTGTGATCCCAGCACCCAGGAGGACTGCGGCAAGTTCAAGATCAGCCTGAGCTACACAGTGAGTTCAAGGCCAGCTTGAACTACTACATAGTGAGACCCTACCTCAAAAAAAAACCAAAATGGGGTAAGGAATGTAGTTCAGCGGTGCAGTGCCTGCCAGGCAAGCATGAGGCCCTGAGTTCAATTCCCAGTACTGAAACAAAACAAAACAAAACGAAACAAAAATGAAAAGAAAAAAAAGTAAAATCGGCAGGGTAGGTAGACTGGCTGGGGGCACTGCAGGGCTGCAGTTTGAGCCCCAGTGGCAATCTGCTAATTGATTCCTTCCTGGTTTGGTGAGGTCAGTTTTGTTAGTAAGTCTTCAACTAACTGAAGGAAGCCTACCCACATTATAGAGTTATCTTCTTTACTGAATGTCCGCCAATTTATATATTACCCAGGATAATGTTGGATCAAATATCTAGAAACATTCTGGGTAATGTTGGACTAAATATCCTGGCACTGAGGCCCAGTCAGGTTGATATAAAATTAACCATCATAACAGCCAACTCATTCTATAAAGCTAGCATAAAGCTGATACCAAAATCAAGCCAAGTAGTACGAGAAAGTAAAATTACAGGCCCATTTTTCATATGAACATAGATGTAAAATTCAAAACTTCTGTACATAGGGAGGGAAGGGGGCTTGAAGGGGGGGGGATGGAATAAAAAAAAAATCTAAACAAAATGTTAGCAAAGTTTAGTAGCATTAAAAATATACCCCATAGGGACCGGGGATTTAGCTCAGCGGCACCGTGCCTGCCTTGCAAGAGAGCAAGGTCCTGACTTCAATCCCCGGTACCAAAAAAACAAAAAACCCCCCAAAACCCTCATAAATAGGGAGGGGTGGAGGGGTTGAAGGGAGGGCAGGGGAGTGGGGAAAAAATAAGAACCAGAACACATCATGTAAAGGTACAAGTTCCCAATGATGAATGTAACTGTATTGTGTACCTAAAATGTACCAATAAACTTAATGGAAAAAAAAATACCCCAATGAAATTATCTCATTGAAATAATATTAGAGTTTGTATAAATTTAACCAATTATACGAAGAGATTAAAAGAAAAGAAGCATATTATCTTCTTCACGGTTGCAGAAAACCATTTAATTATGTTAAACATTCATTTATCATGAAAATTCTCAAAAAATTAGGTACAGGAGAGAACCTTCTTAACCTGACAAAGAGTGTCTATTAAAAACTGCCATTGCCAGGGATTTAGCTCAGTGGTTCCAGTGCTGGCCTTGCAAGTGCAAGGTCCAGAGTTGGATCCCCTGTACCAAAAAAAACCCTTCCATTATACGAAATATGAAAACACTAGCAGTGTTCCCTTTAAAATCAGAAATGAAACAAGGATGCCCACCACTACCACTTGTACTAATAATATCTTAGAGGTCTTGGTTAGTACTGTATCAAGAACATATACAACATTCCTTTAACCAGTAAGAAAAGCAAAAACAACACAACAGAAATATGGAATATATGAGTACATTTTTCTCCTAAGAGGATATACATGTGGCCATTGAAAATATGAAGTGTTCAATATCACTAATGTTCAGGAAAAACCAAATCAAGAACATATGAGATATCATTTACAATCATTTGGTAAAAATGAAAAAGTCTGACCTATCAAGTGTTGAAGAGTTATCTCTTGTGTATTACTGATGGGGAGAAAGGTATGTGTAGACTGGTGCAACCACCTTACAGGACAGTTTAGCATTATTCTTGCAACTGAACACTGACATACACTCCAATCTAGCAATTCTAAAGCCAAAGTTATACTCCAGAGAGACTCTTTTGTGTGCACACTCCAGGAGACTTGTAAGAGAATGTTAAACAGTACACAGTAGCAAAATCCCAGAAACAATTCAAATACTCATCAATAGAAGAGTACTGTAGTATTTAGTGCAGTAGAATATCATGGCAAGCACAATGAATGAACTATAATCATGTAACAATACAGATCAATCTTAGGAATACTAATTGAAAATTTCAAGTTCCAAGAGACTACATAGAGCATAATATCTTTTTATGAAGTTAAAAACAACCTATAAAAACATACAGATGTTTTCAGAACATATGTGCAATTAATAAAACTATGTAAGAAGATTGAGGAAACAATAAAATTTAGAATGGTAGTTAGCATAGAAGGGGGGCAGGGAAAAGAGAAACATGTAATTGGATGTAGGTTACTGTCAAGGTCCAGATTCATAATGTACATCTATGCACAATAAAAAATTCAGAAATATGCTCATAGGTACTTATATTATTAAAAATAATTAATCTACCAATTAAATAAGTATTTTTTTTTTCTAGAAGTTCTTGGTGTTTATATAGTAAGATGGTTTCAGGTACCTAAAACCACACTGACAAACTAGATTAGTGAGCAAATTCTGTGGCTACCAACTGAAGCTTTATCTTAGCAACCAATTTATTTCATATTTTGATTTGCCTGCATACAACTGAAACTGACAGTGTTCTTTCCTTTCAAGAGCTTGGCTTATGATCTCTGAAACACCTCTTATACCTCTGAATATTTTAAAATTAATTAATCCAGAAGATGTAAAGGGAGGAGCAGGAAAGTTTTATTTCAAAGTTGGAATAACTTGTGAACTTCTTTTCAACTTCTTAGGCAAGTTTTGGTTTTCACTGATTTTTTTCAGACCTGTCATGTCTACTTAAATTCCCCAGGCAAGAACAGACTACAGTATAGATATAAAACACTTGGTTTGGTGCCATGCACATTGTTTCCGCCATGGGTAATATGAGTAATGGTCAACTAATGTACAGAATAAGGCCTAGAAGGAGCATGATAATACATTATGGTTAAAGTTAGCACTTATTGTGAGGATTTGAGGGCGTTGTACCAAGCCATTTTTTTGGAGGGTGGGTAGTGAAGGGCAAACTTGCCTAAGAAGTTTGTAAGAATTACAAATATACTCACAGCACACACTAGAATGTCATTCGTGGGAATTTGATAAACACCATGAATGATCAGCATAGTGCTTTTTATTAAGTTTTAAAATAATAAAAATGTATTTTAATATTAATTCCATTCCCCTCTTTAATATGAGAAAATGAAAAAATGGAAACAAAGTCTTTGTAAATAGGGAGGGGTGTGGAGGGGTTGGAGGGAGGGCAGGGGAATGGGGAAAAATAAGAACCAAGAGAGATTATGTAAAGGCACAAATCTCCAATGATGAATGTCATTATTTTGTATACCTAAAATGTACCAATAAAATTAATTTTTTAAAAATGTATTTTAAAAATGAAACTAGAATAAGGCACTTTGGAGCAACTTAATGGATCTCAGTTCGAAAATACTGATATAATTCTAAGGGTTCTAATTTTTTTTTAAGCATCAGGATTTTTTTCTTCAAATGAGAGCTTAAGGGAAGCTCAATATGTAAGACAAAAAAGCAGAATTTCTCTGCCTGAAGCTGGAGGGTGGGAGGAAGTCCAAAGCCCTGGCAAGCTACGTTAAGTGATATAGTCACATGGTCTAGCTAAAATATCTACACTGATAAAAACACGAAAAAAAATGTGACTGATAGATGGTTAGTGAAACACTATTTTCAAACTGCAATCTCTGGAACATTCATGAAACTATTTTTCAGTGGTGGTAGTTTGCAAACGTGTTATATTGTCTTTTTTTGCTTGGCTTTTACAAGGGCATTTCAAAAACACACTGCAATCTATTGATGTTAATAGGCATATATTCAGCACCTGACATGAGCATTAGTGTTGTACCAGCAGAGAGAGGAGGGGATAGAAGGACATGTATGAGAGACATGGCATTCGAACTCTACAGCCCATCCTTAAAGAAGAATTTTTAAAAACTACTAAGTTCATTAAGAAAAGAAAGAACTGGGTTACATCCAGTAGGTGATATTTCTGTAAAGTTTTTTTCTCTCTAAAGGTGGGAGAGACAGCTCATTGGACAACACTTTTTCTTCCTTTTCAAACAAGCAGACCGAGCAGCACCAAGGCCCTAGGCATAGAAACAAGGCAAGCTCTGAGGATTAAACTTTACTTCATTACTTGGACTGGGGTCAGCCTCGTTGTCCAAGTGATGCTGCACACATGACATGAAGCTAAGTCAACAGGGAAGGAAGGAAATAGATACTAGAAATATTGCCAAATATTATGTTACAAATTGTTTTATAAAATAAACACCAATTCCAAACACAAACACCAACAGTTGTAACAAAATAACTAACATGCAGGGAATCATGAGTTAGGTTTTTCTCCTGTTCTTTTTCCTCAGTAGTTTACTCTTTTAAAAAAACTTTACCTTCTGCAACTTCATCTAGTAACACAGTAATTTTCTTGTCTTCAAGTAATCTATCTTTTAAAAATTTCATAAAGATTCCATTTGCCAATCCAGAATGCTGGATTTCAAAAGCTTCTGCTCCTTGACACCTTAAAAACACCAAAAGAAGTAAGTGAAATGAGGCAGGTACAGACAGACAAACATCACATGTTCTTACTTATACACAGAAGCTAAAAAAATCAAATTCATAGTGTAGGAGACATCCCTGCCCAGAACTAGTGGGCTTTGAGTGGCACATACTTCTTGCCTTCCATAATTCAGCTATACTGTTTTATATCAGGAGTCAGACCGAAGCCCTGCATGACTCAAACAGGCATGTCAGCTAGCAGAGTTGGGCCAGTACTACTCCTCTGCTAATGGCTGTCATCGAGGCCTAAGTCCTGGTCTGTGAAGTGGCATGGCCCGGCTGAATTATGTGCAGCTGAGGTCAGCATGACCCCAATTAAAGTCCTTTCCCCTAAATTATCACCTCTCACTGACCTTGTAGGTTGGTTGCTAATTGTGCCTGGTGCCAGTACTGGTTTCTTCTACCCTAGCAAGATAAGCAGTGCCGACTCACTGACAGCCCTGCCTGGCGCCATCATCCCAGGTGTTTAGCAGTATTTCACTAGATGCCTTCAAAGCTCCCTAACTCCCTATTCCTTCTCACGATTGTATTCAATAAATACTGGATGTGCTTGGGGCCTTTTGTCTTTGCTGCCATCAGCAGCACTGACCAGGACCCAAGACTCAGCTTCTCCACTCTTTAAGTCTCGTTTCAGTCTGTTCTTGAATTTGCCTTGTGCTGTGGTGGCTCACAGGCCAGGACCCAAGGGAGAGGTCTTGATACTGTCTCTTTCCCCACTAACTATACATAGAAGCAGAAGGCAGAATGGTGGTTCCTGGAGGCTGGCAAGTGAGGGAAATAGGGAAATGCTGGTCCAAAGGCAAGATGCTTTTGTTAGACAGGAGAAGTAAATTGTAAATATCTGGTGTGATTAACTTGATTCAGTCATCCCACATTGTATACATATATCATAGCATCATTTTGTACTCCATTAATATATACAATTTAATTAGCCAATATGCAATAAAAATAAATTTAAAAAGAAAGAAAAAGGTGAAGAAGCAAACACTTGACACATGGAATGTACATACATACTGATGAGCCTCATTTTCTCCTCTAACAGTTAATCCTCCAGCAGGAACTAAGTGCCTTGGTGCTTAGGTGATAAGATACCAAGTCATGAAGTGTTAAAGTCAATTATGTAAAGCTTTGTGCCAAGAATGCTGAGGAGGCAAATTTGTGCCTAGCTGTCCATGGATGCATCTAGGTTTCTAACATGCAGTCAAAAAGAAGGCATCAAAGAATAGGAGTCTCAGCACAAACATAAAGTGTCCTTACGTGGCATATCCAAACACGATATTGGCAGTGACTTTGAGTGCATCCAAGATTGGAATGGTATCATCATAGTCATTTCTATTTAAAGGAGGGGGGAGGAGAGGAGGGCAGAGCAAATATGTAAAGTTAAACAGCATTTTCTAAGAATACAAATAATACAATAAAAACTATTTTTGTACATATAATTTAAAATGACAGATTCAAAATCTTTCATCTAGTCAGCTATATTTACTGAAAATAACCTGTGGTTCCTACACTATTAAGAAAGCACACAGGGCAGGGTAAGCTCAGTGGTTCTGCCGCCTGCCTTGCAAGCACAAGGTCCTGAGTTTGATTCCTGGTACCAAAAAAAAAAAAGAAAGCAGATAGTCATATCCTTCCTTTTGTTAGTTTTAAAACTGGAGCTGCATCTGAATGCTAGCATTGGATTTTGATTGGTAAATGCTATGCATGCAAAAAATAGTAAATTCTGGAGGAATAATAATTGGTTCTGTTTCATAGTGATTCAATGACAAACTAATGGACTCCAAACCTTCGAGTATCTGCTTCGGCTATGTATTTCAAGACCAGGACTGACTAGTGACCAACCACATGTTTCATGGGTGTGGTTTTATTCATTACTGAAGGATAAATGTAGTGAGTGTTAAGAGACATGCACAGGCATTCTGGAGAATTGATCCCTTGTAGTATGAGTAGATACCCATGACTTTTAATTCATTTTTAAAATTTTTGGTACCATGGATCAAACTCATGACCTTGTGCTTGCGAGGCAGGCACGGCACCACTGAACTAAAGCCCCAGCCCTAGCTCTTTATTTTTATTCTACTGCAAACAGGAAAGGAGTTAAAAATACATATGAAAAACATATTCCTCTAGATTTCTTCTTTCAGTTTCAGTGTATAATCAGCAATTCAAAAATTAAAATAGTTCTTAGTATTTCAAGGTTTGTCTTAGATTTGGCAAAGTTGCTATTTAACTCCAACAATAGTTCAATAAAGATGAGAAATTTTACCTTTTCCGACACATATCCAACAAGAACACATTGAGTCCAGTTTCTTTTTCTTGCATCAACTTCAGTATATTTTGTACACACAGACAATTTTCAGATCTATATGGATTTGGAGCATCAACAGGGACCATAAAGCTGTTCCCGAAGTTTTCATAACCATGTCCTGCATAATACAGTAAACCTGAAAAGCAAAAAAAAAAAAAAAGAGGTAGTATTAATTCTAAATGTAATTTGAACACACCATAGAAAACTTTTTAAAAATATGGCTTTTATTTTCTTCAAGTTGATGCATGCATGTTTAAGAAATAATCACACCCGGGTGTGGTGGCACATGCTTGTAATCCCAGCACATGAGAGGCTGGGATGGAGGATCCCAGTGAGTTTGAGGTCCGCCTAGGCTACATAGTGAGTTCAAGGCCAGCCTGGACAACTTAGTGAGACCTTGTTTCAAAACAAACAAACAAATAAACAAACACCTGCAAAAAAGAAATGGCCAATTACATGGTCAATGTTAATTTGGATTTTAAATTGTTTTGGCAATAGTTTTCATTTGAAATCTGTACTTTAAAACATTAAGATGCTGGGCTGGGAATGTAGCTCATTCTCAGTGGCACCTTGTCTACCTGGGAAGCACAAGGCCCTGAGGTCAATTCCGATTCCCGGGGGTGGGGAATTAAGATGCTGTCTGAAGTGTACTCTAATTCACAAAAGTATTACATTTGTGATCAGTGGTATGAAACAGAAAGCAGGGAAGGGGCTTAGTAAATACTTAATGGGTGAACGAGCAAACACAATTCAAGATTCTGAATATCATTAGCCACTAGGGAAATGCAAACAAAAACCATAGTAAGATATTACCTCGCACTTAATAGAAGAGCTATAATAAAAAAGACAGACAAAAACAAGTGTTGGTAAAGATGTAGAGAAACTTGGACTCGTTCATTTCTGGAGGGAATATAAATGCTATAGGAACTCTGGAAAGAATTTAGTGGTTCCTCAAAAAGTTAAACACAGAATTTGCATATAACTCAGCAATTCCATTAACAGGCAGGTAATATGTACCCTAGAGAATTGAAAACTTATGTCCACATATAAATGTGTATACAAATGCTTACAGTAGAATTATTCCTAACATCAGACAGGTGAAAACAACCTAAATGTTGAGCTGTTGATGAATGGATAAGCAAAATGTGATATACTCATATAATGGAATATTATCCAGCCCTAAAATAACAGTCTTGATATAGGCTACAACATGGATGAACCTTGAAAATATTATTCCAAGTGAAAGAGGCCAGACAAAAAAAGGTTACATACTGAATGATTTTTTTTTATATGAAATGTCCAGAATAACCTACTTTTTAAGACAGAAGGTACACTTATGGTTGCCAGTGGCTAGGGTAAGGAGGAATGGGAGTAATGGCTAATGAGTAAGAGGTTTCTTTTGGGGGTAATTAAAATAAAGAGTTAGGCAGAGGTGACCAATGCACAACTTTGGGAGTCAAGTGACCTACTGAATTATCCACTTTAAAAAGTAAAATTTATATTCTTATCAAGTGTTCAAAATTTGTTGTTGTTTTTCTTTTGAGACAGGGTCTTGCTATATAGTTCAAGCTGGCCTTTAACTCACTTGTGGAGTGCAGGCTGGCCTTAGACTTGCAGCAATCCTCTTGCTTCAGCCTCCAGAGTGCTGGGATTCCAGGTGTGCACCACTGTACCCAGCTAAGTGTTCAAAATTTTACTCTATTTCCCACCAGTCTTTTTACTGCTTCTAGAGCAATATGAGCTCATTTTAAAGCTCAATTTCTTTGCTCAAGTTATTCTTTTATCTCACTAAATCTTCACACATCTTCAAGGGGCAGCTTGAGGTCAGACTCCTGGGTAAATTACCACCTGGTTTGTGCTAATACACTGCAATCTCTCCCTGCTTCCACATGTTCAGCAGCACTTTTTAACACTTACAGACTGGCTCTGACATTGTACATATTTAGTTTTTCCTGATGGCAAATGATTATGCTGACACTGATCTTTTTTTTTTTGGTACTGGGGATCGAACTCGGGACCTTGCGCTCGTGAGGCAGGCGCCGGAACCACTGAGCTAAACCCCCAGCCCCTTGATCTTTTATATTTATATAAAATTTGTCATGGTTTTCAAAGGACTTTCATATATAACCTAATTTTAATTAACAATTTATAAACAATTTCTATCCTTATTTTAGAGATAATTAAAGATTTTAAATGATCTGCTCAAAGCCTCATAGCTGATAGGTGGGTAGACATGTTTTCTTTGATTACATTAAGGGACTATAATTTTTTTAGGAGGATAGATCATACTTTTTGTTGTTGTTGCTTTTTTTTTTTTTTGGTACCAGGGATCAAACTCAGGACCTTGCGCTTGCAATGCAGGGACCAGAACCACTGAGCTAAATCCTCAGCCCCAGATCATACTTTTTGTTCTCTATTCCTCAGCAGTAGCACACTCCTTATCTGGACTATGGATATAATAGGAGCTGAGCAAGAGCCAGCATGGTGGTATATGCCTCTTATCCTAGCACTCTGGGAGGCCAAGGCAGGAGGATAGCAAGTCTGAGCCCACTCTGAGTACCTGAGGGACTCAGTGAGACCCTACTGCAAAATAAAAAATAAAAAAGGGTAACCCCGCTACCAGCGCAAAGACTTCCAGGCCACTGTACCACCACTCCCAGCACAGAGGAGGAGGCTTCCGGGCTGCTGTACCACCACTCCCAGTGCAGAGGAGGTGAGTCACGTGGGCGCCAGCAGAAACCCCGCCCCCCGTCAAAATGAGAGGACATGTAAACAAGTCTCAAAACCAGGTTTCCAGATAACCTACAGCAACCCCAAAGGGAAACAAGATGGAACACTCTGATACTCAACCATACCTGGACTCCCTGAACTGGCAACAAAAGAGGATCTGGAAAAAATGAAATCAGAAATAATTTCTCAGATAACAGCAGAGATTGAGCTCATAGTGCAAGACATGATTAATAAATCTAGAGAAGAGCTGAAAAACATGATGGAATTTCAACACAGGAAACAAATGGAATCCATAAAACAGATGCAAAGAGATTTCCAGGAAACTAAAAACTCCACTGAAAGTCTACACAGCAGAATGAGCCAATGTGAGGACAGAATTACAGATATAGGAGATAAGATTGCAATTAATGACCAGGAAAAAAATTGCTTTAAAATTGTAAGGGACCACAAGAAATCAATCCAGCAGCTGTTAGATGATGCAAAGAAGAATAACATAAGACTGACTGGAGTCAATGAAGAAACAGGAGAGAGTCCAGATGACATAAAAAAACTCTTCACAAAAGTGATGGCAGAAAACTTCCCAAGGAGGGGAAATGAACTTGATATACAGATAAGTGAGGCATATAGGACTCCAACTAGACTTGATCAAA